ATAATAAGTTAGTTGGCAGAATATACATTTTTGAGTATTTTGCCAATTTTAGAATCAATTGTGGTTTTGCAGCTGATCACGGAGCAGGCGTCTTTCACTCTGCCCCGGAACGCAGAGATCGAGGGCAAATGTGGGCTCACAGAGTCTGAGATCCACATCTCCTGGAAGAACAGCGCCTACATCCTCCGCATTTACTTCTCCAAGGTGGGCAGCGGCACCCTGAAATCTATTTTYCACACAAAGACCTGACTGCTGTGACGGGCGAAAGTTCATTTGTGTGTTTCTGTTTGCTCCGGGTGTCCAGGAGTTCCGTGATAAGGGTATCGAGGTGTGGAAGATCAGCAGAATCCAGTTCGTCTACGACACCTCGGAGACCTCGCATTTTATTAACGCCTACAACCGTGAGTGTCCTTCTGCTGCAGGACGTGTCCAAACTGTCCTCCTGCCCTCCTGATCCCAGACTGTATGGAGTTCTCCTGCATATTTATTTATAGATTATTCTGAGTTTCATTCAAAAGCAGGACTTAAAAAAATCTTATTCACCTTGGTTATTTATGAGGTTTCCTTTATTTTTCTACTAGTTTTCTTAATTTGGTGTTTTCGTTTTTAAACTAGATATATAATATTTTGTTCAGTCTATCTTTGGAATGCCCCAAGTTTTAGACAAATAACAAAAATCAAATCTCCAATATTCAAAAGCACCTTAAAACGTCCTATTTTAAGTCCCAAATGTCCCGTTTGGTCTCCAGCTGGGAAACACACAGCGAGCACCCACCGCCTGTCCGCCCTGGTGACCCCCGCGGGCCGCTCCTACTTGTGCACAGCTCAGCAGACCATCACCCTCATCTCCAGCGACCACCAGAAGGGCGTCACATTCTCCATGTACGACATCCAGATCCAGCCCTTCGACATCGCCTCCGACTTCATGTTCAGCGCCCGTAAGACAGCTTTTAAACTGCTCCACCTTTTGCCACACAGACCTATTTGTTTCTGCTCTGCAGGGAAACAGTACATGATGGTAATGGGAAGTCTTGGAGGGGGTGGGCTGTACATCTTTTTGTGGCTCTCTGAGRGGGGAGGTTATAGCTGCAGGATGCGTGCGAGTGTGAGGTGAAATCAGAGAAGGAAAGGTTGGGATACATGAGAAATAAAAGACACAGCAGGAGGGGAAACRAAGAGAGAGGGGTCATTAAGACTTTATGAGCAGAGTCATATCTGTGGTCTGAAAGCAGAAACATCTACCCGTCCAATCACCTTGGAGGAATCACTGCCATAAACTAAACCACGCTCCCCTGCCCTCGTCTACAGGGAGACAMCTTCCCATTAAACTGTACAGACTGTACTCACAACCAACAGAGGTTAAAGTGTCCTCCTTATTGTGCACACTCACATGCACCAAACTGAAAACACTAAAAACAAGACTATTTAATTGCATATAAGAAAGAGAGGAAACATAATGTACAAAAATCAAMGTTTAAAGCTTAACAAAATACATTTTTTATTTTACACTTATTTTAGTTGTAGAAAACAGTTGCTGTGATGAATAAAAAATGTACTCACCTCCCTAATTTACACAAAATGCCTGATTTAACACATTTCAGCTTCGTTTTAAGGCAGTAGAGATGAACCCTCATCACGCCCTCACAGTTTGATGATGAAAACATTTCAGCTTGAGATGCAAGATCTGATCAGGGTTTARAGTGTGTCTGAATGAAAAATTAAACTGTTTTTAGAATCGGTCTGAAAAAGTCAATTTGTTCATCGAGAATTGTTTTTGTTGAAATTGTTCCCTAARGTTTTTATTGATTTCTAATTGTTTTTGATGGCACCAATCCAGTCATAGAAGTAACAAATGCTTCAATTATTGTGATTTTTTTCTGTCTTGCCATATGAATAAGGTAAATTTTGTTTGTAGCTGACAGTGCATCCCTTTCTGATTGGTTAAAATATTTACCAGCTAGTTTTTCTGGTGACAAAAGCCTCGAGCTGAAACACGTTCCTCTGATTTCACAATAAATAGTTTAAGATAATTCTCATCACACTCCATCACCTATTTCCTCCCTTTACAGCCTATAAGTGCATCACCGACCAGCGGGAGCACCTGGAGGAGATCCTCCCCCTCATCCTGGGCCTCCTTCTGGGCCTAATAATCGTCATCATCCTCACCATCTACCACTTCCACCTCAAGCTGACAGCCAATCAGCCGCAGCTCCCCAGAGACCGCTCCATGTACAAGAACATGTAGTCAGCTTCTCTCTCCACAGCAGTCCTGATGACAGACTCGTCTCCTCGGTGTCCCCGCACTGAGGACCACGTCCTCGCGCTGGACTGAGTCCCTGATTGACAAACGTGAACGGCCCACACTGCACTGCCCACTGGAGCTTCTGAATAGTTAAAACACGAGTTAGTGGGACTATATGGGACCTGAGGGGGGGTAAAGATGGAGAGTAATTAACTCGTACCTGGATTAAATCTCAACGCCATATTAAAGTGTTTCAAGTTTTCATATGGAGAACAAATCTCTGAAAATCCTGCATTTCTATGATCATTTCCTCTCTTAAACTGCAGCTAAATTATTCTATTATGGTTTGTTGTTTCTGCACTTTGCTCATTTTGAAATACTTTTGTTCAGGTCCTTGTTTTCACACCCTCTGAATGCAGTCACAGTGTCGTAGTGTTCAGTGTAGTTTTTGCCTCGACATCAGACTTTTCTCTACAGATGTAAGGAACAAATCAAAAGAAAGAAAAAACAAAAACATTCAAATGATCTGCTCAAGCAAAAGGAATTTGTCAAATAAAAAAAGATGATAAAAACAGAGGTTTTAAAAGATGTGTAAAATATTTTTGAAGTTACAAGTCTATGCATAAATCTCTGCTGATGCAACTGTGTGAAGTTGTTTGTTCTGTTTGAAATAAATGGATGGATTCACCTTCGTCACACCATTTCTGAGACTACAGAATTTATCTCATCACTGCGCTGCACTCCTCTCAATCTGTCAACCATAATGGGCAGAAAAAACATTTCCTTCTGMCGCTTTAGTGGAAAGTGTTAAAGACAAAAAGAGAAAGGAAAGTCACAGAAACACAGATGAATGAGTGACGGCTGCACCCGTCAGGATGAAGTATTAAATCTGTTCTGCGACTCGGAGCTGTCAAAATAAACACAAGATGAACCCGTCTTATTGAAAGCAAAAAGAACATTTTTGTCATTAACACCTGATTGTTTCTGCTGTGTGAACGTCACACATCAACCTCAGTAGCAACACACTGCCCAGCCCTTTCACACAGTAAATCACAGAGTAATGTTGGAAATACTCTTCAAAAAATGTCACATTAACGCTTGAAAATCTCATACATGTCCTACAACCATCTAACTCAGGAATAAACTGAGCCTACATTTATTTATAGAGTTTGAAAATTATAGAGAATAAGTGGCCTTTCCTCACTTTTACAAAATACTACAATTCAAGAACATTAAAGCTTATTTTTGTTCAGACGATTAAGTTAAATTTGGTTTAATTTTACCTATAGCCTTAATAAATTCATTAGAATTTATTAATCTTTATTCACTCTAATGTAACTATGTTGGCACTTGTCATATTTACAAAAAACACATTGTCGTGGTATGAAAGCAGAAACACGTTGGAATAATGCCAGAAAAGTCTGCGTGTATGGTCGTAATAAATGATTTAATTCTGAGCAGCAGGCAAACAGGACTCAATCAGGAAGTCCTGTCGGCTTGTCGCTGACAYGTCAGCGGACACAGCCAATAATATACACCATGATAACATCATATGACGTGCTTATAACCAATCACAGATCGCCTAATATACTCTCCAGCCTATCACAGGGCTCCCAGCTCAAAGAGTGTCTTATCAAACAAGAGAGGTCAGTCCGTTGCGGAGTCCTGTTGTCTGGACAAACAGATTAACATTGAACATGTGACACAGATAGATAATTAGTCCATAACACTCCCTCCTCTTGAGTAAATAATACTCAAACAAACCAAATGGAATAATTATGAAACATCCAAACACAAAATGTATCACTCAACAACAAATACAATGGAGAAATAAGGGAAAAATAGTGCAAGTTAAATGACGACCAACAACATATACATTCAATCAATGGAAGATACAACAGGAAAAAAGGCTTAAATGACAAGTGAAACATCAGAACTCATCAGAAGAAAAACATGTCGAAATTAAAAAAAAAAACTCAAAAGCCCAAAGTTAGACAAGGTATCACAACACAAGCCTCCCAGTGTGTTAGATTGTGTGAGCCGCCTATGTTCCATCAGAATCTTATCTTGGATAAAGTGTTAACTTAATAACAACTAGTTGTCAATTAATGAACCTTAAGTAATGCAAATTAGGACAATGTGCAAAATACAGTTCCTACCCCCATTCAAGTCAAAATCACTAAAAACAAAACCCACAGAGCCCATAAGGCACGAACAGAAAACGCATGGATTACTGGCATGAGCTGGCTTGTGTAAGGAAGAGAACACAAAAAACAAAACCCACAGAGCCCATAAGGCATGAACAGAAAACGCATGGATTACTGGCATGAGCTGGCTTGTGTAAGGAAGAGAACACAAAAAACAAAAGTGTAACAAAAATTACAAACAAATGTATTCAAGTAGCTGCAAATCAATTTGTACATTTAAACAAACAAACTTAATTGGAAATGATTGATAAAGAAACACACAACTGGTCTGCCTGCTTAAAAAAACTATTGCTGTAGCAAAGCCTGACACCTGAGCTAATGATAAGCAATGCTTATGCTAGGCTAAACCTGCAAAAAAAATGTAAAGCTCACTGAAATTATATGTTTTCTACAACGGCGTATTAGTTGGACAGAGAGAGTGTTAGGGCCACATAAGTTTTTTATTTATTATTATGTGAATAAAGTCAAAATATTATGAGAAAAAAAGTCAGAATCTTACATGACATGTCATTTTCTATTCCTGATATAATTTTTACTCATTTCCTCCTCACCGTCCTCACACCTGCTGTGGACAGCCATGCCTGTCTCTGAGTTTATGAAGTTCCCTGCCGTGACCTTTGGG